GGATATGAAGAGAAATATTAACATGTTTTGTTTGATAATATCCAATAGAACTCATTAATAGATAACAATATATAAAAGATGTACTTAATTTTGCATCTATTTTTACATTCATCTGTTTCTGTTTTGAGAGGTACTATAGGAGCCTGGCACAGAAGTGAGATACTTAACTAGGTTTTTTACTATCACGTAGCTTATGAGCTTTTACGTACAATTCTTTCTAAAGTCAAAATGTTGTGAAAGAAGTTTTGCTCCCTTCTAAATTCAAAATTCCCAAAGGAGATTAATCCCTAAACATCCCTTCCATGGTAATTGACATGTACACTTCATATTTCTGAGTACTTCTGGATAATGCATGGCGTACATTAACTTCACTCAATTTGCAAGAAACAGCCACTGACAGAATAAAAGTAAATATCTCCAGCAATTGGGGCATTTTTAACTTAAAAGTTAATGACCAGATGTGACTTAAATGAAATTTCCAGTTGGAATTGGGTTGAAGTGTTCATGAAGCAAGTACATCACGGCTCATGTGTATTTCAGTCAAAAGTGAAAACTAAAAATGAGAAATTTGATGAGTTATGTTTCCCCCTCCCCCTTTTTTTTTTTTGGTTAGTTAATGCCTTATTTTATGTGGCATATTGGAGTCTTCTAAAGTTAGACTCTTCAAATTAAAACTTTATTTTAAATTGCATTGTTATTAGCATTCATATCAAAAAAAGTTTTTCATTGTTGAGATGTTTTGCCAAATTCTTTAAAAGGAAAAGTTGAATAACATTAGTGATCAACTGGTTCATAAATACAGACCTTTTCAGATTGCATTCATGTTTTGCTTGTTAAGTAAGTCAGCATTAAACTCTACATTTAGTAATCAAGATGGTGATGCGTTCTTTCTTGTATTTAAAAATTGAAAGTATTAACCTACTGCTGTATGTAACTAGAACAATCAAATTTGAATTAAGCTATACACTTCAGAAAGTTTATTATTAATTATTTATATAATTGCCACAATTATAATGATACTAATTTAAATATCTTCATTTTCACAGAAACCCCACATCTGCTTCTCATCTGTTGCAAGTTTCATATGAAAACATACAAGTATATTTATATTATAGGTGCTATGAAGATTTTTGTAATTATTTGTGGTTCTTCTCTACACATACAATGGTTCAAAAGAGAAAATCAAGAAATTGGAAGGGGTTTGGAAGCTAGTCTCTTGTGAAAAAGGTATTTATTTAATTTCAGTCCCAAACATTTTTAAAAAAATTAGTGGACCTCCAAAATAATATTTTGCTTAATTTTTTCATGATCTATATTACTAATTTCTGAAGTGTGCAGAAATTGAAAGAAAGCTATGACGCTTCAAGCCATAAGAGAGATGTGTGGTTTGCTTTGATATGCAGGAACTTGGGAAAATTCTCATAATAATGAAACAATTTTGATTTTGACTAAAAAATGGTAATAATTGGTTGTGGTATTCCACCATGTCTCATAATGTTTGTACTAACTGAATTCTCATACTCAGTGTGTGCATCACTGCTCACAAAACAGTTGTCATAATATGAAGCAAGGGTTTAAGGAAGAGGCCACTTGCAATGAAGCATTTTCTATTTGTGTGTACAACTTTTTTTATGTTCTTGATATGAACTGTTGTTCTGTATGTAAACTTTACTAGCCTATGTTATTGCAGTATAAATGAAGACTGATTTTGTTAAAATATTTAATTTGTTGCTGTGTTGTATTACTTGTTCATTTACACATTTGCAGATGGCAGCATTAAGAACTACTGTTATTTTGAATGTGAGGGCCCAAATACCTCCAAGAATGTATGGATAGTGCCGATGTCTTAACAGCATCTGATTAGTAACTCTGACACCAGTCGAGGCAGTCCAGGGGAAAATGGTTATTTTGTTTTTGTAATTACTGTGAAGTCTGCAAAAAAACCAAATCTACTTCTATATGTGAGAGAGCTTGCTGGCAGTAAATTAATTATAAATAATGTAATGAACTATTGCCACAGGGGTTATTAATACCATTAGAAATACCTATGGACAGCGCTGCAATACAAAACACTTTGTCCTCGACAATACACACTATTCATAAAAAGCATGGAAAATATTTTTATTTCTCTTTTGCATGTATCTATTATACAATAGTTATGTTCTTGCCTGCTTCTAATATGCCTTTGTATGCAATGAGTAGGCCTATATCCTGCTCACCGCCCTCTATATCATAGCTAATCAATCAGTGCCTACTGTAGACATGCAATTTTCATTCAATTAGCAACGTCATGTAAACAGGTCGCAATGCTCCATCTGCAAATGTAAAGGGAACGTGTAATATAAGAGAAATAGATTTGATGATTTTGAGCAGTGTGCATGCTACTTTTGGAAAATCATTTTGTATGCTTTTGCTCAGAAGCATTTTTGCTGCTGCAGCCCACTGGTAAAATAATAATTATATTGTTTCATAAATTTGTAAACTTTCTTTCTCTTTCTTGCAATGTATAAAAATGCTATTAGTATCATTATTCTTTCTCTAATATCCCTCACATTAGAGGAGTAATTTTTCCACTGTATTGCCATTTCAATGTCAGAACTTATGAATATTGGTTATAAGCTCTTAATACCTATAATAATGTCTGGGGGAAACATGTTTTTGAGAAGTTTTTTAATATGTGAAATAAATTAATAATTTCTGAATAGGTGTAATACTGTAACAATAATGTTTCTGAAAAATGAGACAAATAGGAAATCGCATTTCAGTGATGCACTATTATGCATGGATCACTTCTTACCAATGTTAAAATCACCAATTCCCATTTGAATTTTTCACATTTTAAGAAAACCTTGCATTACATTTCTTCTTTCTATAAATTTGTTTTCATGGTAAATTTATTATCAATGATTAAGCAAAACTTTGTCTGGGTTGAGGAAGATGAATACCTATATGATTACTTTTTAGATGCATGCAGGGCAAAATTCGTAGAGAGAAATATGTAAAATTTTCAGAAAAGAGATAAGTACCAGAAGCATTGTTTCAACATTGATTTGAGAAAATAAAGTACATTCTAAGCAAATTTTTTAGTGTGTTTGCAGAAACAAATTGCTGTGAGTTTGAGAGGAAAACAACTGTTATATTAATCAGTCTTTTATTTTTGAAACATTGAACACATTAACTGAATTATTTGAGCTTTAGGGAATTCCATTTTGTATTCAAATTGATGTGATCTTCAGTACCCAGTGAAATTTTTGTATCTCCAGAATTGTGTACTATTTTTAGTAAAATTTACTTGGTACTTTAGAAATATTTATATGAGCAAATTTCTCAGCCACTACTGATTTGTATCCAAATAATTTTTGTTATCCGTACGAGAACCAAAAATAGAGCTTAATAAATCTATCAATCAACAAACTGTGGTTAGTTGTATCAGTGAAAATGCCTCTGAAAGTGTCTATTGTGTTTGAATTTTAATTTAGAGTACATTTATCTTAAAGATGAGAAGTACTATCTTTCAAATAGGTTAGGTTATAGTTCATTTAAACTCTATTTGGTAGCAATAATAGAAATAATTATGTTTTGTCTGCACACTTATAAAAGGTTAAAATCTCTAATTTTCTCTTTATTCCTATAACAAAACATAGCAGGGTTGTGTATCAGCTGCAGGTGGTTCATCAGAAAAGCAATAATTATCTCAGTATTAGGTTTTTGAATAGAAACCAGTGTAATGATATTTCAAGAACTTAGAAATTTAGTCTTCAAGCACTTATGCTTGTCTGATATTTTTTAATGTGCTTGAAATCATTATTACTGTGCTATGATGTTGGGTGGACTAACAGCACTTACAAAGCAATGTCATTTTACATTTTGCCGTTTTGGATAAATGCTTTTTTTTTTTTTTTTTAAAAACTGATGAATTGTTAAATTTTCAATTAATAGTATACCTGCATAATTTTTATAATATCAAGTTCCAGAGAAAAATAATATTACCAAATAATCATTATTTAATGTACTGTGTTCATTAATCATCCTACAGAGATGTTTATGGTTGTTTTTAAAACTTAATGGTGTAATTGTTATAATTTCAACTTTCAGAATATATTGATATAATTGTGGATTTTAATGCCAATGTCACATTTTAATGGGTGATTTGTTTTCTTGTTTGTTTTTTTCAGGATACAGCATACCTAAGGTTTTTAAGATGTAGTGCAAATATAAGAAGAAAAGCTAGTGTTCAGTCCATATTTGTTATCAAGGCTACTAATGGTGTAACGTGTTTAGAGGTAGGGCAGCAACAAATATGAAACATTGTGGACAATTCTGGTGATTTTAGTGCAATATTTTCTACTTGGTATAAATGTGATGTGTAGGTTATGTTTAGTACAACTTTCTTGGATTCTCTATGAAACATTTACATTCAAGTCCAAATAATTTTAAAAAAGTATATGACCGTTGAGAGTAGTTTTTGTCAACGTCATTAATGGATTATACAATATTACTTACCTAATGCATTTTATGAAATTTATATTTGAGTGATGAGTGCTTCAGTGTCAAAAAAATAAAACTGGATGCCATGTGAATTTAAGTGAATTTCGTGAAATGTATCAATAATGTTTTAACCACTATATTTCAATAAAGTTCATTGTATTCTATCACTTTTTTTTGGTTGTCTTGAAATCCGTGTAGATAGCAATGATCGCGATATATTTCGATTACCATCGAGGTACTGAATCAAATCGACCAACCAATGGAGGAACGATAGCGATTTCGAGTTGGCCAATGGGAAGCCTTATTTACCCTGCCCTGGGTAAATATCAGCGACGGCTCTGCGGTCTGGCGGTGGAGTTGAGAAGTAGGCGGCTAGTGAAACAAAACTCGTCACTAGCGATCGTCATAGGTGGACTGGTGTTGCAGATGAAGGACGTGTGCGTGTGAGAGTACAAGAAAGTTCCCCCCTCCCTCCCCCAAAGATCAAGACTTACACGCAGCAGCAAGTTCTAATGGGGGATTTCAAGTTTAGTGTCAATTCAAGCGTTGGATCTGTTTCGTCTGTGGAGTTTCCTGCAAGTTCTACCAGTAGCACATCGTTGTTTTTTACCACGCCTACATCTGTGCCGGATACCATCTCATCACATCAACACTCAGCAATGCAAGATGAACTTCTGATCGAAAAATCTGCTGTCAAGTCACAACAGCAGTTGTCTCCAAATTCTGACGTTAATGGAGAACAGGCCGTGAAAACCAAAGAAGATGACAACTCCTCTGGAAGTATTGGTAATGTAGTTCAGACTGACAACAAGCCCAGTGAAGGCCAGATCGGCCCGGTAGTGACAACTCCACTCCAATTAGGAACTGGATTCAATGTGTCAGAGCCTAGTCTTAATGTGATTAATTCTAGTAACACTTCTACAGCTAGCCTGTGGTCCTCAGGACCCATGGAAGATGGTCTTTTACACGGTTTAAATGTACCTGCTGTTAATGGAACTTTAGCTTTTCAAAATTTCCCTCCTACTAATCCAAATCCTCTGTACAATACTAGTTTAGGCCCTCAAATCGCTGGATTACCCCAGTCCCAAGGACAGCCTCCTCAACGAAGGGCTATCACTGCTACTCACAATTTTCCTCACAACTTATCTCGTCATATTCAACAACAAAATCATCCTCAAAATATGTTCATGGCGAACAAGAGCTATACATCATGGTCTAGTCCGCAGCAAAATACTTGGTCACCTGGCCCTCAAAATCAAGCAAATATGCAAGGTTTGTCACCATGGAGTAGAGGAAGGTCTGTACCTAATTTAAACCCTCTTCAAACGATGGGTAATATGGGAAATCTTGGCAATAGAAAACCAAGTCCAACTTTCAATCATCAACACTCAGGGATGGTCATTTCACCAATCAAGTTTCGTCGAAGTACATCTTACCCAGGAAAAGGACTGTTTCCTCAGCCACCAACATTTGAAATTACCAACATGGACGAGAACAGAGAAGTTTTGCTTCCATACCCGGTAAGTGTGATTTACAGGTGATTCAATGTTATTGATTTTTGTACAGTGAAAAATTTCATGTGTGTACTTGCACGTGTTATAAATAGTTCAGAGGAGCTGAGTCAGACTGTGCTGATAGGGTGTATTTTGATTTTTTCTCATGAAAGTATTTAGTGTTTTTTGATATTCGATGGATTAAAAATTATATGAGGATTTTATGAAAGTTTTTAAATGTTGAATCATTCTGTGAGATCTTTTTTTGAAAACATAACCTCTTGTATACTTATTGATCCATTCTGGCTCAACAGTCAGTCATTCAAACATGGCTTCTAGGTACTTACTCCATCTCTTTTTTTCAATGTGTTTATTGAATAGATGAAATGTATGAAATGAGTGAATCAGCATTAAATGTGATAATACACAAATTTCTACTTGGGGATGGGATGGGATGTGATTGTTCATTAGAGGGAAATGAAGAATATTGTTTGGAATGGAAGCAGCTTTGAAAACTTTGAAAGAGACTATTATTTGTGTTTTTAGACTTGAAATTGTGGGAATTGTGTTATAAAATGTTTCTCAGCTTGTTAATTGCAAATATATTGTTGAAAGCATCAATCACTATAAGTTGATAATTAGTACTATCAGAGAATTTGAGCAATAATGATTGGTAGGTAGGCTGCCTAACCTTGCTATAAAATATACATTTCAGTGGGTTTACTGGCAAATTAGTGAATTTCTATTGCATAAATACTACAATGTTTGTATTTATTCACTTTAAGTCAAGTTTTATTTTCTGTGTATGTAAAATTTTTCAGTTTGAATTTTTAATGTGTATAAATATATGCACTTTATTGAATTCTATAAATTTCACTTAATTTCTTGCATTTCAGTAAATCTGGAATATTGTGCATTTATCCATTTTAAATTAATTTGGGAAGATATTTTGAAATAATTCTTTGCATTTACATATTTATTACAATATGTAAACTTAGGCAGTCGATCCAGGCATTTTTGTGAATTCTAATAATAGGATATCCAATTTGTAGATGTGGTTCATTACTCTGCAATTCACTGTTTAAGTAAGTTGCATAATTGTTGCTGTCGCTTTTTCATGGGTACTATAAACTTGATTAGTAATTAATCATTGAATTAACATATTAGAAGTGCACTTCCAACGATTTTGAAAGTAAAGCGAGTTGTTAATAGGAAAGTGGCGGGCACTGCGAACTATGTCACAGCGATGTTCGTTTTTTTTCTCCCAACAATATGTCCTTTCGCGTTCACGAGCTGGGAATTTGGCAAGTTTATGTGAAAATTCGTTAATTAACCAAGCCGGTAATCAAGGATTATCATGGGAAGACGAATGAATAAACTCTCTTCCTCCGCCTAAACTTTGTTGATGATGTGCTGTTTCGTTTATGCAAACCTTTCATGAATAGTTTTCAATGAATTTTGATTTATGTCCTGTCTTAGATTTCAAAGTAAGATTTTTTTCTCTTTTCAACGTTTTTAAGTTTGGTTTGATTTTTGCTGAAAATGCTGTAATGGTAACGTTTTGTTTGCATGTGTGGGTTTCACGAATTACATCAAACATGTCTAATCAAATTAATATAAACGTATTTGGACGTTTGGGGTGACGATTACGTACCTATTTTCGGGACGTAATTATAATTCCAATTATTGGAGTTCGTTTGTCAGCGGTTAGTTTTGATCATGCAGTTACGTTTTCAGATGTTTTAATTTCATAACAACTCTTGTTTATATGCTTTTCGATAGAATTAATCAAGTAGACATTTCTGATGGAAGCGATTTGCGATTCGAAACAAGTTAACTCTTGAATTGCGAATTACCCACCTCTTCCCCAAACTACCATCTTAATCACATCTAAATATCATTCATGCCCAATTGATGCTAAAAATATTTTGAGAACCGCAGATAGAATTAAATTGGAGTTTGGTTAGGAATTCGTGAAGTGAGAGTCGTGAAAAAAATATTGACCATCGAAATCACATGATGGGGTCAGCGAAATCGCGAGCATTGGTAACTAAATTTTAAGTTACGTACCATCAGTAGGTAAAAATAAATGCCAAATTTTACATGAAGTACACATTGCAATTCTAGAAGGTTTCGGTTACATTTCGCCATTTCGACTGTCACCGAAGTATAGGGGAGGGGACAGGCGACACGAGAATTATTACATATTGTCTGTTGTTTGACAGGAATTAATTTCGTCTACGGATCGTGGATTGAGCCATCTGGGAACAAATACAACCAGGTTTTTCTTTTCTCTCTCTCTCTCTCCATATGGAGATAGGATTATACATACACATTTCAGGATTCAAGTTAGTTACCTAGGATTCACATTCTACGATCCACATGTCCATGTTACGAAATAACGGGAGGGATCCAAAAAATCGTTCTCGCAAAGGGAATTTGGTGACATCTTGCGAAAAATATCTTTCCTTTTCGGAGATATTAATCCATCATTTATGATTTACACAGTTTAAAATGATTAAATCAAGGAAATTGGAAAAGGGAACATTTCCAAGAGTATTCTTCATTAATTCGGTATTCAATGCTGCAAAAAGCTAAGATGGTTATCGTTTCACTAGTCGTTTCGTCACCCCCCCCCCCCTAGTTTTGAATATTCCCACTGGAAAAAATTGCAATTCATACCGTATGTATCTGTATTATTCAGATTAATTTCTTGATTCGTAGTTTGTTACATTTTTTGGACGTTGTGCATGGTGATTTCATAGTGTGGCAATTGCACACGCAAAGTGGGAAGGGCCGGCACGGCTGCATGGGTACGCACCGAATTTCGGAATCCTTCATGGATCATCTTATAAATTGAAGTCACTGTAATATGTTTCTCGTTGAAGGATGTCAAATGTTACATTGAGTTCGTATACTGTTAATTCTAGGTTTCCTGAACGAAATCCAAATTGCAATGCGAAATCTTTTCCAGCTTATTGTATCTGGTGAAACTAATCAATATTCATTTATTTTACAGTTATGTTTTATTTGCATTAAATAGTGTTTTGCCTATGTAAAACGTGTACTTCCAAAGCAAAATTCGTACAAAATATTGTAGGTGTCGATTTTTGTATATTACCAATTAAAAGGAACTTAAGGTAAAATTGTTTTGAAAATCTATTTTTTGGGGCGGAAGATACGTTTTATTTTTAAAGGTATGTTCAACATACTGTTTTTTTTATTGGGTTACTTATATTTTCGTCAAATATTAGGCGTCAGTCGAATACATGATTGGGGGTCTGGGGGTCAGTAACTGCACCTTGCTGGAGTCACCTAAGTTAAAGAAACTGAAAGAATATTAAAATATGTAAGGATAGCTCATACCTTTGCATATTTATGTAAAGGTATGACGTAGGTAGTTTCTATTGCATCAATGTGAATATTTCTTGCTGTTTTGACAAATGTAAAACTCGTCGTGCCGTGGGAATCCGCAGCACAAATCATTTGGGGTTTAAAATATAACTTGCAATGTCCCGCAGACACAAACTTGACTTATCGTATAGAAGGAAGGGCTTAATTCTCATGTATTAGGCAAATAAAATTTGTTTAACAAGCGTCCAGGCGTGATACTTTATGGGCATTTCGTCGATTGAAACCCAGAATTTTCTGAAAATATTTATCATTCAATTAAGAAATTATTCTTACCTCTGTCAGTTTTCTGTGTATTATAGTTCTGTTATTTCTGCGAATTGGTTTACTAGGATGTTAGCTCTTCTCACTTCGTTAGTTAAAATCATTGAGGGATGAACGTGATAATGAATATGGGCAATATTACTTTTGAGTAACGTGTTTTAGTACGTCTTGCTAATTATAATGAAACAAGCTGTATTTCTTACGAAGGTGAGAGCTATATGGGACACTAAATATAGGTACATAATTTTCCGAGAGTAATTTATTTGGAAAAAAAAAAATTCATTTTTATCAGTCTATATTTAAAGTTGTTCAATAACGTCGAAAATACCAAAAGGTTTTTCCCGAGCGGTGGGTTTCGTGAAGTTCGGATCTTCTAGTACCAGTGACAAATCTCGACAGTAGCTACAATCCATTGCAATTCTAGAAAGTATGGGATTGTTTTTCTCGTGTAGAAGCGAAAAGGGGGCAGTGGCGGAACCGCGGGAGGGGTGGGGGACGTTGAAAGGCGTACAGTTTTCGTTTGCAAAATTGATTTAAATATTTATGTTAGTGATATGTAATTATTTAAACAGTAATCTTGTTTAGCTCATTTTTACATATCAAAAATATGCAATATAAAAACAAACATGTTTAATATTTCACAAAAACCTATGATCCCCCCTCCCGAAAATGATCGGCTGCATCCGACCCCGTCCTACGCAGAGCCCTGCGCCCGCGAGCGCAGCAAGCGGAGGCTGCTGTGTTTTGCAAATGGCCGAGCGGCACCTCCCATGCTGACGCCCCGCTTTTTGGACGGTGAGCGCTGCAATTAACGTCGCACCGTTTGTTTCCGTCGCCGGCTCCGCCTTCCGCTTGCGCTTCCTCTGTCTTGTCTCTTCCTCTTCTGTTCCGCCTTCTCCCCTTCCTCGTGTTCTTCTTCCCCGCCCCCCCCCCCTCCTCCTTCCTGCACCGTCCCGTCTGGGCCGTGTGACACGCAAATACAGACCGTGTATCGCGATATATTGGAGGCCGGCCGACGCGCTTTGCGGAAGGGGGCGTAGACGCGCCTCCGCCAGCGCCGCGCGTGGTCGCTGGCTGCGGCACCGGTATCGACGCCGAAGGACGGTGTCTCGGGGAGGAACCATTGAGTTGCAGGAATTGGAGGAATACTAGGAGCATCGCCACAAAAGTTATCGTGTGTATTACAAATATTATCCTGCGTGGGGATAAGCGATTGTCGCGACCCATAAAAAGATGAACAGTATTTACATTGTATTAGAAAGTCTTTAAAAAAATTAAACAGGACATTTACCTACTTAATAATAATAATCACAATTTGACCTGATTGTTAATCGCATTGTAACTTATTTATGGAATATTGTTGGTCTTTCGTA